CATCAGCCTTATATTCGTATCAAATTGATTAGTACGAAGATGTAAACGATAGTGTATTAAGTTGGTACGATACGTATCATGAAGGCGTATTAAATAGTATATCGTATTAAAATAGTACATGTATTCAGCACATATGTAGCATTGTAAACACTTGCGTATTAGAGACACTACAATAAGAGATTGATCACGACTCTGATCCGTCAATCAGAGACTGATTCGCCATGATTTGGCTAAATTCTTCGAGAGAAAAAGAAATATTCACCATCTCACTCTAACCAATAACGTGTTTTGATAGCGATATTTTTTACTTTGCATGTGCATTGATTTAAGTGTATTGTACATATGTATTAAACACATGGAAAACGTGATAATATATTATTAAATAATCGAGATACTAAAATTGCAAAATATACTCATAAATTAATTAATTGTGATAAATCAATACAAAAAATGGGTGGATGTTCAGCACCATTTTGTAATAATTCTTCGAAGAAAAGTCATGTTATGAATGACATGAATTCGACATTCCCGAGAGATCCAAAACGTCGAGCTTTATGGTTACAAAATATTGGTCGTAAAAATTGAATACCAACAAATGATTTCTTTCTTTGTGAGGTTTGTGAAGTTTATTGTTGACGCTTTTCCGCGATGAGTTCTCTCGCTGCGCTAACTTTGTGAATAGCTGTTATTGTATTGATTTCACATAGGATCGTTTTGACAATTGTGTATCAAAAAGTTCACTGAGAAATACAGAGAGCAGAGACACAAAGAGAAAATGGAATTTCGAAAAAAATATTAGATTTCATGAAAAAAATGTTAGATAAATGGTGAGGCTTTTAATTTAGTTAAAGTACAATATGAAAACAGGACAAAGTTACAGGTTGAATCATAAAGTTACAGTTTAAGTTATTGCTTTTTTGTTTTCGAAAAAATATATCATTTATGTTTATATTTTTTATGCAATTTTTTAAATTTAAAAAATTTTTTAATTTGTTTTATTTATATGTATAACTGCATCTATTATCTTGTTTTCTGTACTGTCTTCATTTTTACATATAGAATAAATTTATTTCATCTATTTATTTATATTAATAATTATATATTTAGTTTATATATTAACTGTGATACTCAAGTAGCAAAATGCCAGCAGTATGCAGCACTGTACTAGCAGATTCGATCATGACTTTACAGCAGATTTCAAGCTGCTTCCCAATTAAGCTTAGTTTTTTGCACACCTTCTCATCATAGAATAACGACAAAAATGCGATAAAAATCGAACATTGCTTGCTGTCTCATTGTGTCAGCAGATATGTAGCAGCTATCGTGCAAAGTTTGTCATATCAGACTGGCAGCAAAAACGCAGCAGAAATCGAGCACAGTGTGTCGTCACGACGTGACGATAAAATTGCGACAGATATATGGCGCGACCTACTTTATCAGCTGTGTCGGCAGAAACGCAGCAGAAATCGAGTACAGTGTACCGTCACGATGTAACGGCAAAAACGCAGCAGAAATCGAATAGAGTAGTAACATAACTTGTTGACAAATTAACAACAGAAATCGAGCAAATTCTGTTTCGTAAATATTTAAATTGTTATTACTAAAAAATTTTGAAAAATGTCTATTATTTTTTCTATCTTATTTTAGAAGAATAATTTTTAATTATTTTACTAATGATGAAATTAATATATTTTTTATAGTACAAATAAGTTATAAAAAGTTTCTTAAAGATATAAGCTATGATTCTTTTGATTCTTATATAACGTATTAAATAATATTAAACATTGTACATTTTATATAATATACTATTTTCCAGATACTACACTTTGTTAACTATCTTGTTGGGCAATTACGTCTTGCATCAAGCGCATAAAAATACGTAAATAATAAATGCATGTTTAAATGTTGAATATGATTTCGCTTATATAGAAAATTTGATAAATTTTGCATGCGAGAAACAGATATCCCGAGATGAAACATCTTTCCAAAATACTATAATAAAGTTACGTTTTATTGAGTATTTTTCGAGTTATGTAGCTTGAAAGTTACAGTACCGCCGGCGTTATCCATGTACGCATGCGCCTTAGTTGGCCAGATCAATTATTACGTTTACACGGCGATGTTAAACCGATTTAGTAACAACCGTAGTTAGTGATTTTTTGTATTTAATTGGATCACAATTTTAGATTTAAAAGAATGTACCAATCTAACGAGATTTCACTAACTATGATTGTTACTAAGCCGGATTTACGTCGCCGTGTAAACGTAGTAAATGATCGGTCTTAGTTGGTCGGATCGGTTTTGTCTTATAATTTAACAAGTACTTAACGAAAAGTAACTTTATTATAGTGTTTTGGAAAGCTATCGAGATAAGCTACAAAAATATGTAATAAAAAAATAAGGATTTCCATTTAAAAAAACATTAATGATGTTGACTTGATTTTTACAAGATCACTCAAGGTCAAGTCCACATTTCCATGTGTCCCCCTTCAAGTCATGCAACTTTTGTTCGAAAAATTTTTCAATAAAATCATCGATTCGCGAGATAATTGACTATCCCTTAAATGAAACACCCTTATATAAAAGATTTTCACTTCTTTCTGATATTAAATGCAATGCAATAAATGCCTATGATAAAAATTTTATATTTAGTTAGACATGTATATAATTACTTTCGTTTTTTATTTATCTTCAGGCAATAACAGTATTTATTTTTATTTTTATTCTAAGAAAATATAAAATTTGTTTAGCTGATTACAATATAAGTAAAATAAGATAGTATAAGTACGTTTAAGTAGGTAGTATAAGTACATTTTCAAATATATCACATTTCCTAATAAATTGAAATTGTCTTAAAATTATATATATCTCATTGGACCTGCTTGTGCATTGTCTTTAAGATTTTGTCAATGAATATTATCATCTATTTCATCATTTAACGGAAGAATGTCGAAATTATGTTTTCAGAAGTTTGACAATTTATTATAAACTATTGAGATTATTAATATCATTTTTATTTTAAAATTTTATTTTATATTAATTTTATGGAAATGTGTAATATAACTATTCAAAATAAATAAAGTATTCTTTTATTCATACTCTTTCTCTATTCTTATTGCATTGTTCGCATTATTAAAAATTCTAATAAAATTAAATAATTCCTTCAAATATAACAAATATATTATATTTTTAGTAAATTGGAATCGTCTTAAAATTACATATATCACATTGGAAGTCTTTCACAGATTAAATCACTTTTAATTATACCTGCTTGTGCATTATCTATAACAACTTGTCGATGAATATTATTGTCTATCTCATTATTTAATGGAAGAACGTCAAAATCACCTTTAAATGTACAAATGTTATGCAAGACATAACAAGCAAGTATAAAATGAGCAATTAAATCAGTTCGATTTATAGGGAGATGGTGTAATAAGTTTCGAAATCATCTTTTCAAAAGACTAAACGCTCTTTCAATGGCAATTCGCGCTGAAGATTGGCAGTAATTGTAATTTTTGTCATTCAATCAAATGACCATTATCATGATAGAAAATCATTAAATTGTCATGAAGCTTATATGCATCATCAATTAAGTGACATCAGGAAATTTTTCTGGATTGCCCAATGCATCCTGGATTTCTGAAAGATGAAAGACACGCTGATCACATACAGAACCAACATATCCAATATAACAATGAGTAAAACGAAGTATGATCACAAATTCCCTGTAAAATATAGAATATGATATATAGATGGAAAGAAGAAACTTTTTATGTAAGTATATGTGTATTACTAACTTGCAGCTGAATGGAAAAATAGCCTTTTCGATTAACATAAGTCTCTGGATTTATACATGGAGATGGAATATTGATGTGAATGATGCCGTCTATAGCTTTTATAACTTTCTATAACTTTTGGAAAAGCACTAATTGCTTCAAAACTTGCCCAAATTTCTTGAACATTGTCTCCTACTGGCCATTTGATAAATATTGATGCCAAATTTATAAGTGCTTTAGTAACTCGTCGTGTTGTTAATAAAGTTGTTGATATTAAATTTTTCACATATTGATCTAGAATAAAAGATTTATAAATAAAAAATACAACATTTTTAAATAAACCTTAGTATTGAATATAATACACTACCTCTAAGAATTTGGAGTAACCATTCTCCAAATACAGATAAGAAACTGTTTCTCTGGAAAAATCATTTCTAATCCTGGATAATATTTTTCCAAATTTGGAGCAATTATTGAGAGTATGAATTCAAAAGTGTTTCTGAACATCCTATAAAAAATTTGAATAAATACTACTAAACTACTACTAAAAATTATAAATATAAATAAATAATTATAAATATAAATATTATAAAAAATTATAAATATAAACATCTTAGATAAAAATATATAAATATTATACATATTAGATAAAAAATAGCTAATCTTGTTATAAGCAAGCGATGCAAACTTTCCATTGTACTGATGATATACAAAATTTTGAAGAGAAATCAAAATCAGATAATTTATTATTATCTAAAATGTGATTTAAATTCTGCATCTCTCCATCTAGGCACCACCTCTTCCACATAATTCTGCAATCTTGGAATTTTTGTTCGATACAATTTCTAAATTACCAAGAGTATCCAAATCTTCGTCGCTATTAGATGATGAAGACGATTCTATTAATTCTTTCAGAACAAGCTTTAATATTATTTTTTTTTGGTTATTCATATTTCTAGCAACGGCCATATTGAAACAATTTACTCGAAGCATCGTTTAGGGTCTCTTTCACCAATCTTCGGTTAAGCTAACCGATGGTTAACTCGACCATCATGATTGCCAACAACTGAGAATTAAATTGTTTATTGTAGATGTGTTAAAATTTTTGTTTAAGCGAATGATTTGAAAGATATCTATTAGATTCGGAAAAATTAACGGAGACCGACTGGATTTGAACTCGGGATCCCTCGTCTACCAATCCGACACTTAGTCTGCACGACCACGACGGCTCCTCTCTGTTAGCTGTTTATATTCCGAATCTCTTTCATGACCGCTTATGGTCGTCTAATTCTTACAGTTCGGCCATTCTGGTATTACATTCGTCCCGAATGTACCGAGTCTTCCTCTATCGGACTTTTATCCGAAACTTGGAGCTTCTGCTCCCGACCTCGATCACTTCTTGAACGACCGACACGACTCCTTTAGAGTACTACTCCGCGACTTTTTTTCCGTTCATTTCTCTTGAACGACCGACACGACTTTGGAGTACTACCCCCGACTTTTTCCGTTCACTTTTGAACGATCGACTTGTCAGGTAACATAGGCTGAATCTTCTCTGAGGTAACATAGGCTGAATCCCACTTCTGAGATTGAAAGATATCTATTAGATTAAAAATTAACGGAGACCGATACCGGTCGGTCCAAATAAGAAGGGAGGGTGTGCGTCACGGCGGAGCCCGACCACGAACCAGTCGTGAAAACTCGTAATTATTTTGCGAAAAAATACCACCTCAGCCAGGAATCGAACCTGGATCTCTTGCTTACCGGGCAGGCATCTTATCCTTTCGACTACCGAGGCATGTGATGATATTTATCGCAAATAACGTGTTTAGAATAACACGTCAACAATACAATGATACACATATATATATATATATTACAATATACATATATACATGTATTCTTTCGAATCCCCACGACCGGTACAACCGGTACCGGAAAAAATTAACGGAGACCGACTGTGGATCTTGAACTCGGGATCCCTCGTCTACCAATCCGACACTTAGTCTGCACGACCACGACGGCTCCTCTCTGTTAGCTGTTTATATTCAAATCTCTTTCATGATCGCTTATGGTCGTCTAATTCTTACAGATTGTTTAATAATTTTTATTTATATTAATTATCGGATATTACTTACAATTTCATCTACTTACCAAGATACCTACAACACGAAAAGAATATTAGGTCAAAGAACACAGATTACTTTCTCAGCATTGAATTAAAGTTGGCACTCTTGCGGATTAACTGTCGGTTAACTTAACCGAAGATTGGTAGAAGAGATCCTTAGGGAGCTCGAAAGCATAAGCTCCTTATAGTTTTCTCGAATGAGTCTGCATTAGTGTCTTTTGCGCGATAGCAAGCTCCCCGAACACAGCCTTTGTAATATGTATATATTTGTAAAAGGCATAATAACTTTTTATGAAAGAAACTTTTTTCTTCAAGAAATGAATAAAGCTATAACATCGAAAAGAATAAAAAACATTACATATTTGTTATTTAAATATATATAAAATTCATGTGTCGGACATAGTATACCTAGACCGAGCGTTTGCCTTTATTCGAAGAGTAGGGGGTAGATGCTATATAGAAAAGGATATATTCTGTTTTGTGCCTTCGCGTTTTCTTTCACTCTTGTTCACGTATGCGTACAAAATATACGCCTCTACTTACGATCCCCACTTACAGATGTACGATTTATACGCATTGCGAGCGAGAGAGAACGTAAAAGCATAAAACAGAGTATATCCTTTTCTACGTAGACATCAACTTCCACTCCTCAACACTCGGTCTAGATATACTATGGGTGCGTTTCGTTGCACGCATGAATCGCTTGAGATGATAGCGCCTTACATGAGCGCATTGACACGTTTCCCTTTTTTCTTGCACAAGAAAAACGAAACGGTTTATGCATACTGGGTTATTGTAAATAAATATGCGGACGAAATACCGGCTGATAATATACTCAATATTTCTATTGGAATTCAATATGATTATAGAATCTCCTTCATATAACTTT